AAAAAAAAAAAAACAGGGAGAAAAGAGTCCTAAATTTTGCGAAATGAACATAAATTCTGAAAAACACAAAAGGGTTACCATGGTCGTCTAAAAGTAATCCAGCATCTGTAAAACCACTGACCAGGGATAGTCACAGTCTGTCAAATTTATCATTTCAGCCAAACTGCTAGGTAACTGACTAGCTCTCAGTTAAATCCTAAGGGATAGCCAATAATAAGGACATGAAAACTAACTTTATATTTTGAGAGTTCCACATAAAAGTATTTTAAAAAACTATACTAAATAAATGTTCAGAAAAACTATACTAAATAAATGTTCAGAAATACCAACAGAATTTAATAAACACACTAAAGGCTGATATTATATCTGAAAACAACACACCCATTTGATTACTGAATTGTAGGAAATATATTTTTTAACCTAACATTTGAGACTCACTACCTCCTCACAGCTATTATACACACAAAAAAGCCATCATAAATCACACATCTTAAGACGTGTAAAACTCTAAGACCAAATAGATTTTAACAGTCACCAACCTTTCTACATTGACTGGCTTATCAAATTTGAATAAGATGTAGTCTCCGGCTATTGGGGTTATAGCCCAGAAGAAATCTTCCCCCATGTAAGTTTTCTCCAGTGTATGTCCTTGGTACACCTTCAAAGAAGTAGATATCTCTGCAGGTGGGTTTACATGGATCTTAAGAAGTAATGGTTTCATGTAATCTTTATCCTAGGAGGAGAGACATGTATGCTATTAAACAACTTATAGATTATTTATACTTAAGAAGAACAATAACTGTACCCTAAATAACAAACTGTATGTGCATGAGAAAAATAAAATTAAATCACCAACCGTGAGTTTCTGAATTTTTCCTGATAGAGAAGAATGCAGACCAACATGTTGGAAAAGGGAAGGTCTGAAGCGAATTCGTAGATTGGCTTTCTGTCTATCACAATGTTTCTAAAAAAAAAAAAAAAAAAAAAAGTGTCACAATGCAAAGTGAAATCTTGTCCTCATCAGAAAAACCAGAAGCCCTTTTAAAGAATATTGAAAAGAAAGAGGAGCCTGGGTGGCTCAGTCAGTTAAGCGTCCAACTTTGGCTCAGGTCATGATCTCATGGTTCATGGGTTCAAGCCCCATGTCGGGCTCTGTGCTGACAGCTCAGAGACTGGAGCCTGCTTCAGATTCTGTGTCTCTCTCTCTCTCTCTCTCTCTGCCCCTCCCCCTGCTCGTGCTCTGTCTCTCTCTCAAAACTAATTAACATTTAAAAAAAAAGAAAAAAAAGAATATTGAAAAGAAAATCCAACTTCATCTCATAATTCCAAGTCATATTTTTTAAGGGTCCTCTTTAAGATATTAATAGATTTGCTACCTACTTGATAAACGGATATGATATGGAAATTTAAAATAAGTACATCTAAGAGAAGAGTTAAGGATTTAATTCTAACCATATTTCAAGAAATATCAATGTAGATTTGACTTTAAGTTTATTTATTTTGAGAGAGAGAGAGCAAGCAGGGGAAGGGCAGAGAGAGGGGGAGAGACAGAATCTTAAGCAGACTCTGTGCTGCCAGTATGGAGCCTGAAATGGGGCTCAATCCCACCAAACCATGAGATCATGACCTGAGCCAAAACCAAGAGCTGGACAAAAGGCCTGCAATAATTTACTGGGTATTAAAATGCTGCATTTTTCTCAAAAGGTTTTACTTCATTACTATTACTACTAACACTAGAACAGAGGTAATATAACGTTTTATTTACAAAAATTCAACTACTCAAGTGAAAAGGAGAGGGAAGGGTTGAGGATAGGAGAAGAGCAAGGGGTAGAAGGAGGGAAGGTGCGGGACAGAGAGGAAGAAGAAGAGAACAGTGCCTGAGACTGAGCCCACTTGTGCCTGAACAAAGTGGGTTAATAAACCTGTGAAAGAATGTGTGAATGCTCTGTGGGGTTTCCCAAACCACTGTCAGAGAGATATTGTGCTGGAGGCCAGCAAGTTTGCAGTGACAGTTTCCCTGACATTCTAGAGGAAGCAACTGAAGAATTATGGGCCACAGAAAAACATGGCCTAAGAAGGAGTGACAGAATAGATAAAATTCTCCACAGGGCTGTGTGCTAAAATTTATAGATGATTTTAATTTTTACTATTGGAGATATTCACCACACAGGCTCATTTTAGAACCTAACCATATATTAGATAAAACTGCACAGGACCAATTAAATGCAAGTATATTGCAGAAGTATAAAGATCATATGATTTTATTTGTGTCCTACAATACAAATTCCTGTGAAGTACAAAGAAAATACACGTCAGGATTTACATCATAAAAACAAATTGTTCAAATCAATTTATATGTAATCACTGTTGGAAAGCAGATACTTTGCTATTTGGCTATACTCTATGATTTTCTCTAAAAAAGTGATTAAGAGAGAGAGAGAATGGCTTATAAACACCAGACAGTGTCCTAAAAACTCACTGGCAGGTAGGATGATTAAACTATTTTAGAGAATATAATACGGTCATGAAGTCAAATTAAATGTTTGTTAGAATGAATGCTAAGTCATCCCTATGAAGACACATGCCCATAATAAATATTTCCTGTTATTACATGTCAAAATTGACTTATTTCTGAGAATGTGTATTCACATTTTATTTATGATTACAGCAAATAAATAAAAATTTCCTTTTTTTCCAGTGGTACAATTCAAATTGGACAAAGAAAACGTATCTAATTACTTTTTACAATAAGATCTCTATGGAAATAACATATTTGAATAATCAAAGCAAAAATTGTTCAGTTACTTACCTACCATAATCCCAAAGGTCAGCATATTAATATGAGCACTGGTTTCTTGCAAGTAATACACTAAAAGGTACTTTTTTCCCTTGCTATTGTTTTGGTATAAAATATTACTTCTATTTTATTCCTTATTTACAGATGTATTGGGGTCTGATACTGTCCCCCAAGCGTTTGAAAAAGGAACAATGACAGAGAGTATGAAGAAAGCTGAAACAATACCCCTGGGACAGCTATGAGAACATCTATAGCCAACAGTAACTAAATAACAAAGCCTAAAGACACTTACTAACATTTATCAGCAATTTAAAGAAGGGTGGACTTCACTGATTTACAGGGTTTTCCACTGTTATTTAAAAATCCCTCTAATTTAGGAACTTTTTGTCAGTTCAAGAAAGCAAGCAAGCACTTCAAATGTTAAGTGAAAACACTTCATTCAGCTCTTTAACTGTTCATTTATAAATTCTGGCTCCCTGAAAGTCCCTTTCACGGGATACAGAAAAGAAGCCTCTTCCACGGTTAGAAGGCAGGAGAGGGACAGTAAAGTGTCCCTCGAACTGAGAAAGCACAGAATTTTATTCAAGGTAACTGACGTCGGGGAGGAACTGACTGGGATGATGATCCAACTGTGCAGTTTTTCTCTGCAAAGTCTGGACCTTAGTCCACAGATTTTACTGTGAGAGGACACATTGGAGTGACCAAGGGCCATGTAGGGAGGTCAACGGGTGTACATGCACTAATTGACAGCTAACCTTTAAGTAGATCTTGTGGTGCCACCTGTGCATGAGGAAGGGGAAAGACTGTATTATCTCTAAGAGATACATGCGAAGCCAAAACAAGCCTCTCGTCAGCCCAGCCTTAGCTGGCACTTCTAACCTATGTATATTGATCACCATGGGGCCTTGAACATGTAGCCCCAAGAGAGGTGATAGAGTGAACGTGAACACAATGATGGGCCAAAGATGGAGGCCGTGTGGTCAGCACTCCTACATCCACCCTCATAAGAAATTAACTTACTGCATCTTTCTCAGGGTTGCAGACTTTCACCCAGAGTATATGGTCCAAGAGCCAATCAATGGGTTTCTCCTTATAGAACATAAATATGAATTCCACAATCAGAGTGAGGTCTGGTGCTTGAAACATTTTACCTGAAAAAAACATTCTCAGTCAATAGCTTTCATAAAGAAACCAAGCAACAAAATGGCTTAAATAAATGAAATCTATACAACAAATAAAGTTTGTGCTCTCAAATACAAATCATTATGAATAATTTCCCTACTTGTCTTATCAAAAGCAAACAAACTTGCTTTAGCTAAACATTTCTGGGTTGTCACACAACTACGAAACTCCTGACTTTCTCCATCACAAAATCTATCATACAACTACTGGCTCAAGAAGCAAGTCAGAGATTTTTCCTTTGTGTCTTATTAACATTCTTCCCATTAGAAAAAAAGGAACTTAAGGATCCTTTAGGTTTAGGTAAAACAAACAAACAAACAAAACATTTAACCTAATAAATAAATGCAAAAAACAAGGCATTCCAATTCTGCCTTCACTGAAACCTTCACAAAGATGTTTCTGACTCTTAAGTTTTGAGATAAATGATCAACAAGGTCAAAGGCCTAGCCTCTAATATTTAAAGTACTACAAGAAGTGAAATTTTATCCTGTTTCTTAAAACTTGTAAACTTCCTGAAATTCTTCAACTTTAAACATATCCTAATTGTATAATTTATGAACTTTAGTGAGAAAAAATTTTTCAATGAGAACCTTGTCTATGAAAGTAACAAATGATTATGAATGAATCACTGTCAAGTACTACATCAAATACTAGGTATTCATACTAGAAAACATTTAGTGTGGCATTCTTTTTAAAAGAACCCCAATGCTGCAAAAGCACTGGGCCATAAACAGGGAGCTGGAGGTGTCAGAGAAGAAATCAGACATGCTCAGAAGGCTTTACGTGTGTACACAAGAAGCCAGAAGGGCTGCCTGGAGAACTCCACAGCAAACATTACAACCTTACAAGTACCCAAATACTATTTTGGGTTGATTTTCATCACTTTATACATGGAAGTTTACCTAAATTAAATTTCCTCAAAAGCAATCAATTTCCAGAGAAAAAAAGACAGTTTGAAGGTAAAAGAAATTAGTTTACCATTACAAAAGTCACAGTTATTTCTGAAAAGTAGATAAATCTGACACTTTTCTTACCAATGAAGCCCAGCTGGGAGAATTCTAGTATCATCCATTCCTCAGAAGAAAGTTGAAGTGCAAAATTTTTTATAGTGTTAAAGTAATTCTGTTTGACAATAATATCATCTTCAAGCTAAAGAAAGTTGATCAGATTAATAAATCAAAGAGATGGCAGGTTTAAAGGACATTCTTTATTATAAGAAAACTCAAGCATACTTTTAAACACAAATCAAGAAAACAATGGTCAAAAATGATGAAAATATAAAAATAAATTTTATTAAAAGAAAACGAGGAAAATAAAATGGAAGAGGCACACATAGCAAGTCACCTAAACCACTCCGTTACTATGGGAGATCACAGCACCACTCCACGAATTACTCTTTTCTGGTCCTTTCTGAGCACCCAACATGACTTCACACTATCCTTTTTTACTTTTCAAAGGAGAAGAATTTTTGTGAGCCTTTAATTTTTTTTTTAATTTTTATATAATACTTGTTCGAGGTCAAAGAAAAAGCCTGCAGCTTTCCTTCTCTGCCCTCCACCCTGCTAGCTGAGGTAACCAATGTTAAAAGTTGGGTGTGCATCTATTTGCTACCTCTTATATGGACACACAGCACAAAAAGGTCCACACACACTTGCCCATCCACATGTACGTTTTTATAATAAGGGATCATATTATCAAACTGTCTTTTGTCTCTTAATATATCATGAATATCTTTCCAGGTTGATATTTACTAAATGCATAACATTCCATGTTATCAATGTGAAACAATTCATTCAACTCTTTCCTGATCATAGACACACATCTAGCTTATTTCTCATTTTTTGCCAATGCAAACAATGATGTAATAAATTTGCTTATATTTACATATTACTGTTTTCATTTCTGTAGGATAGATTCCTGAAAGCTCGCTTCTTGTATTTTATTTTTTTAATTTTATTTATTTATTTTGAGAGAGAGAGAGAGAGAGAAAGAACACACAAGCGGGGTAGGAGCAGAGAGAGGGAGGGAGAGAGAATCTCAAACAGGCTCTTCACTAACAGCTTGGGGCTCGATCCCACAAACCGTTAGATCACGAACTGAGCCAAAATCCAGAGTTGGACGCTTAACTGACCAGCCACCCAGGTGCCCCTCACTTTTTGTATTTTAAAAGTTATTTTCAAAATACTTAAGAAGCTGTAGCAATTCAGAGTGCCAGTTAATTCCACACAGTTCGCCCATGTGTTATTCACACTTGGGATTTTTACCAATTCAACTGGGAGTTGACAAAGGATCAAGGATCACAAGCATATGCAAAGACTTCCTCCCCAGAATCTCCTCTCATAAAAATTTTAAGTCACAAGATGATTTTAATGACCTTGAAAAAATTTTTTTTTCCTTTTCTTAATGTCACATTATCACTTCCAGTTACCTGCCAAGCAATTTTCACTTATTTTAGTATTTATATTTTTCAGGTATTTAAGTCCTACAAGCTTTCTTCTTCCTATCTGTGAAGAAACAGTAGGAGTACTTGGGAAGACATGATAATGACTCACCAAATATTTATTGAGCTTCTATTGTGTTCCAGACACGATACTAAACCCAGGGAATAATACATCAGTGAACAGGCAAGGCATGTTTTATGCTTCAGGGAAGCTGGAGGGAAAACCAGACAAAGCACAGAGCTATACTGGCACCTAACCTTGCTTTCTGAAAAAAAGAGGTGCCTACACACACATCTAAATACTATCTATACCCCAAGGAAAGATGATCCCTAACATCAGGCAATTCCAAATTATTCTAATAAGTAAATTCAAAAACAAGATATTTAAATGCACAGAGATGTAGATGAAATAGTCAAATGCCTATTTGAAATTCAATACACTAATTTTGGTTACCATACACAAATTCACATTTAAAAAAAATTTTTTTTACGTTTATTTATTTTTGAGAGACGGAGAGAGACAAAGCACAAGTGGGAGGGGCAGAAAGAGAATAAGACACAGAATCCAAAGCAGGCTTCAGGCTCTGAGCTGTCGCCACAGAGCCCGAGGTGGGGCTTGAACTCACAAACTGTGAGATCATGACCTGAGCCGAAGTTGGACGCTTAGCCAACTGAGCCACCCAGGCGCCCCCATAAATTTACATTTTTACATTAAATTAGGAAAACTGCTTTGTTCCATTCTCACATCAAACAACTTCGCTTTTATTTCTGGGTTCTCTATTCTGTTCCATTGATCTATGTGTCTATTTCGGGGCTTATACCATGCTGTTTTGATTACTATAGCTTTGTAGTATATCTTAAAATCTAGGATTGTGTTACCTCCGGATTTGTTCTTCTTTCTTCAGATTGCTTTGGCTTTTCAGGGTATTTTGTGGTTCCATATAAATTTCAGTATTATTTGTTCTAGTTCTGAGAAAAATGCTGTTGGTATTTTGATAGGGATTGCACTGAATCTGTAGATTGCTTAGGTTGTATGGACATTTTAACAATATTAATTCTTCCATTCCATGAACATGGAATATCTATTTGTTTGTATTATCTTTAATTTCTTTTATCACTGTCCTATAGTTTTCAGAGTACAGGTCTTTCACCTCCTTGGTGAAAGTTTATTCTTAGGTATTTTATTCTTTTTGGTGCAACTCTAAACAGGATTGTTTTCTTAATTTCTCTTTCTCCTACTTTGTTATTAGTGTATCGAAATGCAATATATTTCTATATATAAGCAACTTCACTTTAAAAAAAACTTCTTGGAAGGGCACCTGGATGGCTCAGTTGGTTAAATGTCTGACTTTAGCTCAGGTCATGATCTCACTGTTCATGAGTTCTAGTCCCATGTCAGGCTCTGGGCTGACAGCTCAGGGCCTGGAGCTGCTTCAGATTCTGTGTCTCTTTCTCTCTCTGTCCCTCCTTCATTCACACTCTGTCTCTCAAAAATAAATAAACATTAAAAAAAATTTTAAAGAAATAAAAAAAACTTGGAGTACCTGGGTAGTTCAGTTGGTTAAGCATTGGACTCTTGGTTTCGGCTCAGGTCAAGCCTGCTTGGGATTCTCTCTCTCTCAATAAACTGACTCTGATACAATTTTATGACCTTATTAAATTTCACCAGTTTTACATGCATTCAGGTTTGTGTATGTCTTCGTGTATGTATTTAGTTCCATGTAGTTTTTGGGAGACAGTTCCATCGTGAGAATTCTTGTGCTACCGCTACCCTTTATATTCACAGCCACCTCCTTCCTTCCCCACTTCCAGCATCTGGTAACCAATAGTCTGTTCTCCATCTCTACAACTTTGTCATTTAAAGAATGCCACATGAATGGAATCATACAGTATGCAACCTTTTAAGATTCAATTTTAAAGTGCCCATAATTACCTGAGATCCCAGATGTGCTGTGTATCAATAGTTTGTTTCTTTTCATTATTTAGTATTCTGTGGTACAGATGTGACACAGTTTGTGTAACATTCACCGGCTGAAGAACATATGGGTTGTTTCTAGATTTGGGCTATTATGAAAAAAGCTGCTATAAGCCTTTATGTACAGGTTTTTTAGTGAACATATGTACTTCTCTGACATCAGTGTTTTGTCAAGGCAAGAGCCATTCTTTAAAAAATCTTACATCTCAGGGAGCCTGGGGGGCTCAGCTGGTTAAGTTTTGGACTTCGGCTCAGGTCATGATCTCACAGTTTGTGAGTTTGAGCCCTGCATCAGGCTCTGCACTCATAGAATGGAGCCTTCTTCGGATTCTCTTGCTCTCTCTCTGCCTCTCCCCCACTCACTCTCTCTCTCAAAATAAACAAACATTTAAGAAAAAAAATAAAATCTTACATCTCATTAGTGATCACTAGTTTACAGAGGGAGGCTAAAAAACAAGATGCAAAATATTGTTTTTATAGTATGCAAATGCAGTATCAGAAAAAATATATATATATTTTTGCTTAAAAATTTTAAAAGTATAAAAAGAAAAAATTAGTGGTGGTTACCCATGGGAGAGGGAGGAAACAGGGATAAAAGTGAGACTTCTGGGGCACCTGGGTGGCTCAGCTGGTTAAGCATCCAACTCTTGGTCTCGGCTCAGGTCATGATCTCACAGTTTGTAAGTTCAAGGCTCTGCACTGACAGTGTGGAGCCTGCTTGGGATTCTCTCTCTCTGTCCCTCCCCAACTCATGCTCCTCACTTTCTCTCTCAAAATAAATAGAATAGAATAGAATAGAATAAACAAAATAAAAGTAAAGTAAAATAAAATAAAATTAAATTAAATTAAATTAAATTAAATTAAGTGAGACTTCTGTGTATCTTATATAAGTTATGATTTTGGAAAGTTTTTTTTACAACTAAAAAGGATAAAAAATGCTAAAAACAATACAAAATGAAACAAACCAAATTTCATATCAATTTGGCAGCATGATCACACAGTATAAAGAATTATTTCCAGTTATTTTAAAACATAGTATTTTGGGGCGCCTGGGTGGCGCAGTCGGTTAAGCGTCCGACTTCAGCCAGGTCACGATCTCGCGGTCCGTGGGTTCGAGCCCCGCGTCGGGCTCTGGGCTGATGGCTCAGAGCCTGGAGCCTGCTTCCGATTCTGTGTCTCCCTCTCTCTCTGCCCCTCCCCCGTTCATGCTGTGTCTCTCTCTCTGTCCCAAAAATAAATAAATGTTGAAAAAAAAAAAAAATTAAAAAAAAAAAAATAAAACATAGTATTTTGACAATATATCCATATTGGTATATATTCTAAGAAGGGGGGAAGCACAAAGAAAATTTAAATCGCATTCATCAGTCTAATAGTAGTGACAATGGTGTCATTGTTTTGTAAGTATTTCAGCTATACTATAGAATAATATTATTAGGATAATGTGATTAAAAACCAAGACTTTCAATGTAAAAGAAATACATGTATAAATTCAAAAAAGTCAAGTAAAAACCCCCAAATCTTCATTTGATTTGGGAATACTAATATGAGCTTGTAGATTTTTCTCCTGAAAAATAAAATACTCTTTCCCTTGCTAAAAGTTTAGCCTGGAAGCAAAGACACCATAACAGCAATAAGCATCTCGAGCACCTGGATTGGGGTCCTAAATACTATTTGCTTCTAAATGGAAAAGAGCTTCTTAGAGAAATGGCTGATTCTAGATCTCCCATAGAAAATGTGCAAATCTTGTGCCAGTCAGCAAAGAAATGATCTAAGATTACTAAACTTACATTGAAGGACTACAAGAGCCAATTTGAAGAGATTCCCACCAGCTTATGATGTACCAGTGTAAGCCTCAATATGAATAGTGACTGCAAGGTCTGAGGCAAATCAAATATATTTAAAAATCCATGCGTTCAGAACAATATTTTTTAAATTTTTTTTTTTTTTCAACGTTTATTTATTTTTGGGACAGAGAGAGACAGAGCATGAACGGGGGAGGGGCACAGAGAGAGGGAGACACAGAATCGGAAACAGGCTCCAGGCTCCGAGCCATCAGCCCAGAGCCCGACGCGGGGCTCGAACTCCCGGACCGCGAGATCGTGACCTGGCTGAAGTCGGACGCTCAACCGACTGCGCCACCCAGGCGCCCCAGAACAATATTTTTTAAATGACCGCCACTGGTGATTTCTAGGATACCACCTTTGAAATTTAATGAAGAGAAAGAATAGGCATTTATTCTGCCTTTCCTTTGTGAACTATTTTTCAAGGTAACCAAAGAGTTGAGGAAAAGTTCTTTACAGATGAACTCAACTTCTAAGAACATTACAAATTACACAATTAGAAAATTATCACTCAGCACCTCTAATGAAATAACTGATCTGGGGAAAAATAATCAAAGAATGTGGACATCAGAGGAGTGGCTGCTGGGAAGCTTCATAAAGGACAGATGAGGCTGACACCACCAAGCCCACTGATTAGTGTCAGCATCAATACAAGTGGGTCAACTAGACATACTGTGCCTTGTTACGTGATACAGCAGGAATTACTCAGCGCCATCTAGGAAGTACCTGAATCACCCAACAAGTGTTCCAGAAGACATGGTCTTCAATTCCAAGTCGTCTGTGATACAGGACTTTATGAAAGTGTATGATTCTGTCACACGAAACTTCATTTCAAGCCAAAATGTAACATTAGCACGGGTGACATTTTTTCCACCTTTAGGAGTATGCCTGTGATGACCACAGAGTAACCTCTGGTTCTTTTGCCTTTTTTTAAAATTTATTTTCTTCCAAATATTTATTTTTGAGAGAGAGATACAGCATGTGAGGGGGGAGCAGAGAGACAGGGGGACAGAGGATATGAAGCAGGCTCCATGCTTTCAGCAGCGAGCCCAACATTGGGCTCAAACTCACCAACTGCAAGATCATGACCTGAGTGGGAGTCAGATGCTTAACCAACTGAGCCACCCAGGTGCCCTACTGCCTTTTTTAAAAGCACTCTCTCAAAAACCTGGGTAGGACATACTCCAGCATATACAACCATGAAATCATACACCTAGCACTGCTAGGAATTTACCCAAGGGATACAGGAGTGCTGATGCATAGGGGCACTTGTACCCCAATGTTTATAGCAGCACTTTCAACAATAGCCAAATTATGGAAAGAGCCTAAATGTCCATCAACTGATGAATGGATAAAGAAATTATGGTTTATACACACAATGGAATACTACGTGGCAATGAGAAAGAATGAAATATGGCCTTTTGTAGCAATGTGGATGGAACTGGAGAGTGTTATGCTAAGTGAAATAAGTCATACAGAGAAAGACAGATACCATGTTTTCACTCTTACGTGGATCCTGAGAAACTTAACAGAAGACCATGGGGGAGGGGAAGGAAAAAAAAAAGAGAGGGAGGGAGCCAAAACATAAGAGACTCTTAAAAACTGAGAACAAACTGAGGGTTGATGGGGGGTGGGAGGGAGTGGAGGGTGTGTGATGTGTATTGAGGAGGGCACCTGTTGGGATGAGCACTGGGTGTTGTATGGAAACCAATTTGACATAAATTTCATATTTAAAAACAAAAGAATAAAAAATAAATAAATACATTTCATGAAGTCATACACCTAGGATAATTATCAAGTCTGGATTGAATGTCTTTCCTTCCCCACATTAATTTTTCTCCAATTTTGCCAGGTGATTTCTATCCTTCACAAACATTCAAAACTAGTATTAAACTGAGGACTTTTCAGGCTAATGTGTTTTCCCCACCAGTACTTTTTTTTCTTTAAGCTTATTTTATTTATTTTGGGAGAGAGGGAAAGGGAGAATGTGCCTGCATGCACAGGGGAGGGGAAGAGGGGGCGGAGGAGAGAGAATCCCAAGCAGGCTCAGCACTGTCAGCGTGGCTCCAACTCACAAACCATGAGATCATGATCTGAGCTGAAACTCAGAGTCAGATGCTTAACCGACTTACCCAGGTGCCCCTTCCCACAATATTTTGCAAATTATAATGAACTCACTGAGACAATTCTATGTAAAATGAAATTATGTCAAGAATTCAATGTAAAGCTATTCCCTCTTTTTGGAGGCATGATTTTTGGGAAAATTGGGTAATTTCCGGAATGTTCACTGGATTCATCTGTGACACAACTGAAACGTTAGGAACAATCTAAATGACCAACAGTAAGGTCATTATGATATCTGAATAATGATATTTCAATGAGATTAAAAATTATTCCAGTCTGTAATTACTGGCATGTAAAGATATCTATAATATGCTAAACGACAGTAAAACAGATTACAAGACAGTATGTACAGTATGATCTTGCTCTTGTGAAAAAGAGTTGTATTAAATGAGTTAATATGTGTAAAGTCTAAGTTGTAAAGAACAATACATGACACATGGTGTAAGTGTGCAATAAATGTTAGTTCACAGCTACTGTTGTTATAACACCATATATACATGCCCTGCTTAAAGTTTTCCTTATCCTCTTTCTTAACCACATCCTTTCCTTAATTTCCTAAATGCTTACTTTTCCTATACTCCACACCAAAAAAGGCTTTAAGATTCCATTCTTTCCTTAGAGAGAAATTTAAAATAAAATTTAAAAGCAATATAACTAAATTTTTTAAGTTCTCTCTATAAAGTTCTTGGTCATAGTGTAAATATATATTGGCCCTAGAACAAACAGCAAGCTTCCACTACAATAATAGGAGACATGTTTAATAAAATGTTTTGAAGTTATTATTTTGAAATTAAAGACTTCTCTAAGACATTTAAAGGAAATGTACTAATTTTAGGATACCATGTTTTTACACTCATAACTCTTGTATACTGTTACATACAATGCCATATCCTGACCCTATCATCATTTACATTTCCCAGCCTGAGAACCAAGGAAAAAGGTTCATCATGCACATTTGAACACAGGTGGCCCAAGATAAAATGTCAAAGGAGACAAAGTCTGTCCTCAGTAAGTCGGCCTTCCCAGGTGATAGGAGGCTTTTCCTTCTTTCCTTCCCTCCCAAACCTATGCCAGCAGTTGCAAACCATTTATTTCCTTTCTGATTAAGGGACCCAGAGCCCCTTTTTTACCACTCCCATCAATCAAAGTATACTTCCAGGGAAATATCTAATAAAAAACTTTTTAACTAAAAAAAAAATGACAGGCATAGTGTGCAGTATCTGCATATGAACAAGGAATAAAGACCTTTGGTTAAAGAAATGAAATTCCAATTGTAATGTCACTAAGGAGAAGGAGATTTAGAAGAAATAAGAGCTTCCTAGAATTATTTAAGTTGTTGCCTATCTGGCTAACTTAAAACCCACATCATAATAAACTTATTCTTATCTTCAATATAAATGTAAATGTACTGTAGCATGCAAAAAACAAAACAACAAAAACAAAAAACCTATCCTACTGTAAGACCACCAAAAAAAAAAAAAAACTTGTAAAAAAATCCTTCTTTAAATTTTGCCAAGTAACTAAACCTTAGTTCTTTTTAGCAGTAGAGCGAGGGAGAATGAGAGCAGAGATGGCGGGATGAGAGAAGAAGAGGTGAGTGACGCACCCACTGTCACACCGTTATCTGGAAAGCTAGTGTTGGGCTAAACTGGAGAATGGAAATGCAGAGCCCACATTATCAGTGACTATGACAGACCTTTCTGCTTTCTGATATATTGTTATCAACATATACATCTTAGAGGGTTTACACTTTCCAAACTTCCTGTTTCAATGAACATATACTCTTGATACTACTTCTTCAAAAGTGTGAAAAACATGAAAGGAAAACAAAAATCACACTTACCTGAATGTAATATATTCCCTTTTCCTGAGCATACATCATTAGAAAACAATAATCCAGGTTTTGCTTTGTTCTCCATCTGAAAAAATTTTTTCAAAAATAAGTTAGGAATCAGACTCAAATTTAGCAAAATAAGATTAGGTGTAAATATTTTAGAGTACATATTGTATGTTGTGATATTTTATAATACACACACGTATATGCACAATATATAATATACATGTATGCAAATTATCTACCCATAGATACACAGATACAGGCACACACATACATACACATGTAGAGGAGCATGAAAGAGACTTCACTTTTCTCTAATGAAGCCTTTATCAAAACATATTCCCCAAAACACTAATCCTCAAGACATCCTGAGGAAAAATGAAGTCAAGTGTCAAGTAAATTAGGGAAGCACATATATTCTCCTTCTGGAGACATATTAATATATTAGAGGCACTGAAATAGTCAATACATTTGTTGGGGAAAACTTTTGGGGTGCCTGGGTAGCTCAGTCGGTTAAATGTCCGACTCTTGACTTAGGCTTGGGTCATGAACTGTGAGGTTCCTAAGTTTGAGCCCTGCACTGGGCTCTGTGCTGATAGCACGGAGCTGCTTAGTATCCTTTCTCTCTCCCTCTCTCTCTGCCCCTCCCCCACTGGTGTTGGCACTCTCTCTCTTTCTCTCTCAAAATGAATAAACTTAAAAAAGAAAAAAACTTTTTAGTCCAATATTTTCCAAACTTTTTTGACCATAGGACCTTTTTTCAAATTTAACATTTTAATGTCTCTGGAAACGTGCTTCAAAAATTATACTTCAGGGATCACTGCTTTGGTGACCAGGGCTGTGCTTTACATACAGGTGAAAATTAATAAATACTGTACTGAATGCTTAAAAACCCCAAAACATATTAAGGTTTACAATATTAAGTCCTTTCAGTGAATTCCTGGTAGCCTGCAGAAACAGACTAATGTTGAATAAGAAAAGTGGTTGTAAAAGCTAGTTAAAAAAAATAAAAGGTTTAAATAATAAGTAAACTTCTCCAGAATATACTTTATAAACTGTTTTGAATTTAATGAGATGACTTAAAATTTTTTTACCAAATTCAACCCTAAATTTTTTAAAACTAAAATTATATTTATTGAGACAACCAACTATGTGGACATATCTTTCAGAAAAATTCACTCAAGAAACACAGTAAGTCTCTTCCCAAAACTGTATTTTTCCTTTTTTTCTGCCTATAGAAAATCCAAAACTAATGTCAATGTCTCTTAGATTACAATGTTTTTAATAACACATTGAAAGTTTTAAGTCCTTCAATTTGAGAGAGTCAGAGACAAATAAATCCAGTTGACTAAATACATTTATTACAATATAATTCTGCAGAACAGTATTATTGTTTTTATCACTTTCATTGAATCAGTTCTCATTTATTTTGCATACAAACATTTGATTTCTATATGAACTAGCTTCTGAATTCTACTGAAAATACTCTTAAGAAAAGTTATACCACAGAAAAGCAGTTATACAAGTTATTGAGCATACCAAATTCAACCTCTCATCAGAATTTCCAATAAAATAACCAAAATTCATTAGCTCTCACAAATTAGCTCAACCCTAAAATGTGGTACATTTCAATAAATAAGGATTACATTTATTAGGTATCATACTCACAAGGGTGGGGGATCTTAACACAGGCTCACCTTACTCTTTCTTTAGAGTCTCCAAATGTCTCCTTTAAGTTTGTCAGGTCAGGATAATAGCTTTCAGGAGGTGATATTATTTCCACCAAACCAGAACTGATTTCTTTAGAAAATCTACCATGAGAAAGGATAGCTGAGTCATTTAAGTTCTGTGGGATTTTATTTATCTTAATGCTCAACTTATTGTGCTTAACATAAAACACATCAGTAACGTATACTGTAATGGTCACATCACAGTGTCTTCAGTGAAGTAGCTCATCATTGATTTTACTTGCCAGAAAATGCAAATTTTTCCAATAACAAAAGGGTTTTGGTGGGGTTTTTTTTGCTTTTTTTTTTTTTAAATAATGCTTTAAAAACAGTGTAAAATGCTACTATTCTTAGAGAAGCATAGAAATCCTGGGCCAACTGCAGATACTATATTCCTAAAAAGTATCAGAATTTTTAAAAATCAAATCAAGGTATCACAGAAAATAGAGAATTGAAAAAAAAATAAACTATTGACTGTGTGTCTCTATATATGTATGCAAAAACCAGTTATTCCACTTTCAGAAAGGTTTAGTTGCGAGTTATAGATTATATGTCATTCTAAAGTAGTCATTTCTCAACTGGGGCCATCCTGTCCCCCAAGCAGACGCTTAGCAATGTCTGGAGGAATGTGGTTGTCCTAACTGTGGGTACTACTACTGACATTTAGTGGGGAGACACCAGGGATGCCGCTAAATATCCTACAATGCATACAACATTCCTCACAACAAAGAATTATCGAGCCCAAAAGGTCAACAGTGCCAAGGTTGAGAAAATCTGTTCTAAGGTTTTTATAAGCAGCTTTACTAACTCAAATGTAATTTCTTTCACATTTGCATTCTCCCTTATTTAGTTTTTGCCAATCTCCACAAAATTCTTGTGCAGCTCAGCTACCTGCCTTCGCACATATGTCCTTTGTGCTTAAATGTAACTTTTTCTGGGCTTGGTTTCCCTATACATTGAGGAAAGAGAACTGACAAATCACAGCTTAAGCCCCAGAGACCTGTCCACGTGCTCTGTGGGAGGAGGGGCCAATAGTTACTGCCTTGTTCCTATATTTAAGGAGGCTATACTAAACTGTATTTATATAAAGGCTGCCAAGAAATCAAGCACTTGAGGGAAAAAAAAATCTAACAAATGCACAATTCTGAACTCTGCATATATTTTTTAAAATCTCTGGTTTTAGCATTTTGATGGACAAAGAAAGGGCTGCATTATTTTAAATCTAGAGTTGGCAAGTAATTGTTGCTTCTTTTTGTCTTTTTTAAGTTAAAGATACATTTTTGAGGCAAAAACATAAAACTCAGTGAAGAAACCCTTATCAAGACTAGTTTTATGATATCACTATTAAAACTATGAAGATGATATAAACACTAATATCTGAAACTTACTAAGATTTTCACCTGTTACCTGCTAAGTGCCTTGCTCACAGCAAACTGTTACTCAATTTTTGCAAAACAGTACAGATTCAGCCATAATTTAGCACTGAGGTTTGAAACTGCTGCAAGACTCTCTACCCTGACAGCAGAAGCTTTTTTCTTGGTCAACAGACTCTCTCTATATTCACTATCTTCAAGATTAAGAATTTATTGGATAGGGTCATATATGTAGGACATTCAAATCTTTTCTATATTGAAATACACCAATTTATCCACCATCAGAAAACTGGACATATATGCACCTACTTTATGATAAGGTTAAAGACCAATTATAGATGGCCCAATGAAAAATGAACTTCACAGAGAAAGGAACTATAAAAAGAAAGCATTTTCTTTTAGCAAAAAGCCAAGAAGTAACAGTAACTAAAAGATCATTTTCATATTTAACAACTTACTCTTTCTCCAGGTTGGCTACAACACTGTGTACATAATCACTATCTGTCTGGGAAAAAGAAAAAAAAATTGTACATACATTAATGTTTTTAAATTTTTATTTAACTTTTGATAATGAATTCAAATAAATAATTAACAGCATTCAATTAAAGCAGTGCATTAAAATTTCAGACAGCTTATGGATTTGCATTTCTACTTTATTCTACTTTATTGAACTACGATATATCATTGAGTACTTACTAATACAATAAGCAGATGTCAGTTTTATTACCTTCAACTGTCCTTGTTCGATTCAGTAGAAAAAACGGAGTACAGAAATTATTTCTACCTCTTCTCAACTATCCAAACTAGAAGTAGTGAATAAATAATGGAATAAACAATAGAGAAACATTTTTCCATTTTTATTTAAAAAAAAATAAAAGGCAGGAGGAGATAATATCTTAGCGACTCTGACATTAAATGATGAAACTATGTAATAAAAAGCAGTTATGGTCTGTATTATTATGATTCTCATTATTAGGCTGATAATGATTAGAACCCAAGTCAAAAAGCACTTTACACACAGTTAGAATTATATACAAATAAAGATCTAATACCCCCTACCAATTTTATAAATTTTTTTTTTCAACGTTTATTTATTTTTGGGACAGAGAGAGACAGAGCATGAACAGGGGAGGGGCAGAGAGAGAGGGAGACACAGAATCGGAAACAGGCTCCAGGCTCTGAGCCATCAGCCCAGAGCCCGCCGCGGGGCTCGAACTCCCAGACCGCGAGATCGTGACCTGGCTGAAGTCGGACGCTTAACGGACTGCGCCACCCAGGCGCCCCTAATACCCCCTACCAATTTTAAATACAGTCACAGTTTATATTAAAATGCTAAAAAGAATCAATCATACATAAAATACGATCTATGTTATAGATTGACAAAACACTTAATACTTGATAAAAAGAAAACAAACCTAAACAAAAAGATAAATTTTGGAAATTACAAAACTATTAAGTTATAAAAAGTTGTGGTATAGAAGATGGTCTATGAAAGTATGTTAACTTTAATTTCTGTTGACTGCAAGTAATTCCTATTTTTATTGTTAAATTTAAAGACTTAAGAGTGAGACATTAAGACCACATTCTTCAAACTCTTAACAACTAGGGAGATACAACTGGCACACCGCTCAAAATCTTCTGTACTTCCCCTATATGAACCAAATGTCAGCGATCTCTTTTGAAATAATTTATCACCAATATATATAACTAATGAGTATCTTTTCACACATCAGCTATAATTCTGGAGAATATGATCAAGGTTGGTTTATATAGATATTAATAAATTTAAAAAACAACCTGGAATTCAATTTGTTAAGCATTTATTGAGGGCCAGTGATTTGCCTATCCAAGGAAAACAGGAATACAGAGATGAACAAGACCACCTCCCTATTCCCAGTTGGCTGTCCAAGAGGTAGGTCAAGAAAAAAAAAGTAAATGTAGATTCATTAAGTAATGTGTAATAATACGTATGAAATTCACATGAGCCAAATCTAATATTATATGTAATCCTTATGCTGTAATCCTTATGCTAATCAACAGAACTAACAAAAGGTTTGCTTAAACGACTGTAATTGATATCACTTTTCCACCAGAGAATAAATCCTTTCTGGTATCAGCTAAGGGAATTCTGGGAATCTTCTGAAGAAAGCTAAATGTATAACTGGCCTAGAAACAGCCAGGCAAATCGTTATCTCCATTATACAGTTGTGGTTGGAAACTGTTCTTGCCTCTCCCCCACTCTTAAATGTTGATAATAAGATAGGCAATATCAGATCTCTGGGGCTTGCTTGCATTAAATTAAAAGAGAGCACTTTTTCCTGAATCTTTTTTAAAAGCATGTGGAGACTTTTTCAAAGGCAATATTATCACTCAATTCTGGGAACGCATCTACAAATATACAACTGAGATATGTGTATTCTAGGGGTATGGGAACGGTATATACGTGGGAAAGGTGGGAAGGAAAGTGGACATACATAGAGAAAGAGCATTTTTTCCTGGAGAATCAAGTGTTCCTCATGGTTAAGTAAAATTAAGTATTTTATATTAAAACTATATGCTATTGTATTAGTATGTATATGCATTATTAATACATACTACAACAGGGATGAACCTTGAACACGTTCACATTTGTTCAATGTGTGACCACATATTATATGCCTTTACTCGTATAAAGCATCCAGAATAGAATAATCTACACAGATAGAAAGTAGATTAATGGTCTCCTAGGGCTGGGGGGAGAAGGGTATTAATGGGTGATGGGTAAGGTGTACAGAGTTGTTTTTTGGGGTGATTAAAATGTTTGAAAATTGAGATGGTGGTTGCATAGCTGTGACTTTAAATAGGTAAATTACAAAAAAGTGATTTAAAAAGTTAAATGTAAAAAAATATTAAAAAAGAATGTTCTACTTTTCTATTTTTGATATATTTTAGGGAGTGCAATATGCTATTAATAGCATATATGTGTGATTTGTAAATATCTATGTACAAATTGGGAATACCTAATCAACGGGATGCTTAACAGAAAAGCTTAGATCATATTGCTGCACTGGACCAGTCCTGGTGAGACAGAGCACAGAATACTGCACTCCAAACCAGCAGAATGCACATTGTTTTCATGGAACATGAAACATGGAACATTCACCAGGATAGATCACATGTTAAGCCACAAAACAAGTCTCAATAAGTTTAAGAAGACTGGAATCACATCAAGTATCTTTTCCAACCACAACTATATTAAACTAGAAATTAAAGGCAAGAAGAAAACTGAAAAAAACCCAAATACGTGGAGAGCAAACAATCAATGGGTCAAATAAAGAAATCAAGTAGGCAATCAAAAAATAGCTTGAGACAAATGCAAATAGAAACTCGATGTCCCAAAATCTGGGACACAGCAAAATAAGTTTTAAGAGGGAAGTTCGTAGTGATACAGGCCTCCCTCAAGAAACAAGAAAAATCTCAAATAAGCAATCTTATTTTACATTTAAAGCAACTAGAAAAAAAGAAAAAAAAAAAAAAGCTATGGAAAATAATGTAAATTCAAGGGCAAAAATAAATGAAATAGAAACTAAAAAGTAAAGGTCAATGAAACTAAAGCTGGTTCTCTGAAAAGATGGACAAACTTTTAGCCAGATCCATCAAGAAAGAGAAAGCCTAAATAAATAACAAAATGAAAGGGAAAAAAAAAAAAACCCATATCACAGAAACATAAAGGATGTTAAAGGAAGAATACTATGAGGACACTGGCATTTGGCAGTGGAAGTTACGATCGACTTCAGCCAGATTCACAGATCTGCATGATCCGGGTTGAAACCGCCAGCGTCAGAACTCTGCGGATTGGCTCCAGACCCTGGAGCCTTCGGTCCTGATTCTGTCTCCCTCTCTCTGCCCCTCCCGGTTCATGCTCTGTCTCTCTCTGTCCCAAAAATAAATAAAAACGTTGAAAAAAAAAAAAAAAGAGAATACTATAAAATTGTTTTGACAAACAAAGTTGGAAAACCTGAAGAAATGGATAATTCTAAACATAATCTTCCCAACACTGAATCCATGAAAATAGAAAATCTGAACAGACTAATTACAAATCATGAAATAAAATCAGTAAAATAACAGAAAACAACAACAGACTCCGTATTGCTGCGTGGCTCAGTCAGTTCGCTCATCACTGACTCTGATTTTTGGCCCAGATTATGATCCCAGAGTCCCGAGGGATCAACCTAGGTCAGTCCCATACTGAGCATGAGTCTGCTCAAAATAGTATTCTCTTCTCCTCACTCCCATCCCTCGCTCTCCCTCCCTCACCTCTCCTCTCCTCTCTCTCTCACTCTCTTTGCTCTTTTTTCCCTCTCCTCTCTCACCTCTCCCCCACTCATGTACACTCTAAGAGCAAAAACAGATCTTTTTTAAAAAAATTTTTTTTAATGTTTATTTTTGAGAGAGAGAGAAGGACACAACGTACAGAGTTTGTGACTGGGGGGGAGGAAGCAGAGAAGCACGAAGTCAAAAGCAGGCTCCAGGCTCCAAGCTCCGAGCTCCGAGCTTCCAGCACAGAGCCCGATGCGGGGCTCAAACTCACAAACTCTGAGATCTGTGACCCAGGCAAGTCTGGATTAAAAGCTCAGCCGCGACTGAGCCGCCCAGGCACCCCTAAAACAGATCTTTAAAAAACCTCCCAACAAACAAAAGTTCAGGACAAAATGGCTTCACAGGTGAATTCTATCAAATATTTAAAGAAGAGATAATATCTATACTTCACAAATTATCCCCAAAAATTGAAGAGAAACACTTCCCATTTTACAAGGCCAGTATTACCCTGATACGAAAACCAGACAGATACTACCCCAAGAAAGCAATTACAGGCCAATTTCCCTGATGAACACAGACACAGAAATACTCAACAAAAATATCAGCAACCAAATTCCACAATACATCAAAAGGATCATATACCATAACCAAGTAGGGATGCAAGAATGTTTTAATATCCGCAAATCAATTATTGTGATACACATTAAAAAAACGAGAGACAGAAATTACAAGATCATCTCAACAGATGCAGAAGATGCACCTGACAAAATTCAACATCTATTTATGATGAAAATTCTCAACAAAGTAGGTATAAAGGGAATGTACATCAACATTAAAAAGGCCATATTTGAGAAACACACAGTTAACATAATACTTAACAATAAAAGGGTGAAAAGCTGAAAGCTTTTCTTCTAAGATCAGAAACAAGACAAGGATTCCTGCTCTCAATACTTTTATTCAAAGTAGTATTAGAAGTCTTAGCCACAGCAATGAGGCAAGAAATAAAAGGCATTCAAATGGAAAAGAAAGTAAAACTGCCCTATTTGCAGTTTACATGATTATGCATAGAAAACCCAAAAGACTCCACCAAAAAAAAAAAAAAAAAACTATTAAAACTAACAAATTCAGTAAATTTGAGGATACACAGTTAACACACAGAAATCCGTTGTGTTTCTGTACACTAATAATGAACTATCAGGGAAAAAA